ATACATAGAGAGACTAAATTTCGTTGAAAGTAATCAAGTGGAAACAAAGAAAAGAGAATATAACAAAATGTTACTAATTGGGGGTCTTTGAGCATTGGCTCCACTCACTGCCATCAAGGCAATGCCAACTCCCAGTGGGCCAGGAGGACTGGATGGAACTATTGCTGGGTTTCTGAGACTCTAACTCAGGATGGGAGTAGAAAGCCTTTCTCCTGCGAAGCAGCTGGTGGTGGTTTTGAACTGCTGCCCTCGAGGTTAGTGACCCAACAAGTAATTATGACGCCACCAGGGCTCCTTGGAGGGTTGGGTAAGGGGCACCTTTTCTCTTCTTCCATGAGTTTTCATTCTCTGTAAGACACACTGTCATTTTCATAACAACAGCAGCAATAACAACAGGCAAACATGACTTTGTTAAAGAAAACTACTTTTGTTTCTTTGGCTACCATTTCTTCTAGGAAGGTTGCTGGCTTTAAACATTTTTATGGAAACAAAGACTGATTGGGATTTGAAAGCCCTGATGAGTCAAGGAAAGCCCATGACTGAAACTTTGCGGTAAACTCTCCTAGCTCCTATTTCGACTCTTATCACCTAATTCTCCCACCAGCTAAATTGTAAGCAGAGATTACACATCAGTGACTCAACTGGAAAGGAAAGCGTTAGCCTCATTATCAAGCACATTGTAAAGCCCTGCAACCCACAGAAAGCAGCATCTTTTCTCAAGTAAATCTTTGAATTGAATGTATTCATCCACATTGTAGACTTTTCCCTGGTTTTCAGGCTTTCCTGTGTCTCCGAAATACGAGATGACCCAATCACTCCCTGAGAAATAGACAATCAAGAGTAGAGGTATTTCATGTGCACAACCTGAACATCTGAATTGACTGAACGCGGGCCCCCTTTTGGTATTGTGAAAAGAGAGCTGACATGTAATGTGGTAATTTATATGCTGTTCCCAATATCAAAACAACGAGTTGTAAAGCAAAAGATTTTGTCAATCTTGATGGCAGGGGGGTTTGGTTATATCCATAAGTCATAAGTCCTGGTGACACAGTGATTAAACGCTTGACTGTTAACCAAAAGGTCAGCAGTTCAAACCCACCAGCTTCTGAGAGGGAAAAATATGTGAAAGTCTACTTCTGTAAAGTTCACAGCCTGAAAAAAAATTTTTTATAAAATATCAATGGCTCATGAGTGAGGGAGTGGTGAGTGGGGGGGATGAGCTGATACCAAGGGCTCAAGTAGAAAGAAAATGTTCAGAAAATGATGATGGCAACATATGTATAAATGCGCTTAACACAGTTGATGGATGGATGGATTATGATAAGAACTGCAAGAGCCCCCAAATAAAATGATTTGGAAAAAAAAAGTTGAACAGATTATTTTTTCCCCCATGGTCTATCCCATTCCAAGTCCCCAGTTTGAATAATTATTTCATTAGATTTATCTAATCTTTAGATAGTTTCCTAAAATGTAATTGAAGTGCTGAGTAACAGGAGGAAAATTTCTGGCTGGTTTTCTGCATAAAGGATGTACATTAAATGAACAAACACACAAACAGGCAAACTACAGCCCTTATTTTCTCTTTACGTGTAAATGAACTTTTATTCCTTTTCTAAAATATAGCTTTTTCTCCTGTCTGCATCTGGTGTTAATAACTTGGTAAGAAAGCTCTTTATTAAAATGTAAATTAAGCTTGCCTGAAAGAAAAAAATTAAAAGAGGCAGGGGAAATGTTAAAATAAACGCCCCTGGGATATAGGAGATGGAGGGTTGAACCTTTTGGAAAGCTAAGCACTGAACCATTCCAGAAAAGGAAAAAGCGAGAGCAAAAGTCATTGATTCCGGGCAGAGCTGGCTCCCCTTTGCAGGTCTCCAGGTCATTCATTAGAGCACCCTGGGTCTCCTACTAGGACCTTGCTCAGACTCAGAGGCCCGGGGGGCCTGTTTAATTGTTCCTCTCTGCTTTCTCTGTGTCCAAAATGTTCACCTCTCTCTCTCCTTTGAAACGCATCTCTGATTTACAACTTAATTTAAATAGCCCAGCTAGACGATGCTACCACTTCCTGTCTGAATCACCACCAGCAACCTACAGAGTGCTCTTTTTGCCAACAGTATCCGGCCCTTCAAATGTGCACGATACCATTTTACTCATCACCCAACACTCCTGCATCACATTGTCATTGCTGATCTCAGCTCACTGCTCATAATCCTCGCTATTTCTAAATTAAGTCCAACTTCTTCCTCTGCCTGATAACTAGGGTTGTCTCTCTCCCTGTCTCTTTCTGTCTCTTCCCACCCCTCTGTCAGACACACTTTTATGCACTTCCATCTCACCTTCGCTCTCCCATCAAATGTATCACTCATCACACTCTACCGAGTCACCCCATCTCCTAGCAATCCCACTGGAAGCACGCTTCTTGCCCCTCTCCCACTGCCCCTCTGCCACTGTGCTCCTTTCTACCAAGATGCCTGGTCCTTTTTGTGTGGCCTAATCTCCCTCTTCAACTTTTCTTTCCGGGTTATCCCTGTCATTCTAAAGCTTCCTCAAATGCTTCCTCTTCTGTGGGTTCCTCTCATGACCACAGCCCCTCAACTTCCCTTCTTTTTCTCAGCTCCCATCTCATTTATAATTAGACAACATATTACTTCAATGAACTTCTATTGATTTATATGGCATTCTATATTCTAAACGAGAGTGTTATTGGCATCGGTAACTGGAAACCTTCATTGTGCATAAGTGTCTTGAAATCGCAGGACATTTAACATCCTTGGCTTCTGAATGCTGATAAGGATGATATTGCAGCCAAACTGAATGCTTTGAATGTTCTTTCAAATGTGCTAAGTATTAAGAAGTTCTTTAGAAAACTAATGACAACATATACACATCTATCCAACAAATGATAGTGGTTTAAATAATAAAATATATTTTCAGAACCAAAAATTTCAATTCTTCCCTTATAAGTATCAACATATTCTCTCTATATGTATATGTATGTATATGTATATGCTGATTAACATTCAGATGTTAATCACCACTTCATTTATTGTAGGTGGCGTTCATAAGACATTTTATTTAACCTTCTGACCAACCCTGGTTGTTGCTATTTATCTTCCTTTTATAGATGAGGAAACTAAGGGTCAGAGAGCTCTGCGTATCCAAGGTCATGTAGCTTGATTAGAGCCCTGGGCTTTACCCTCCTGATTGTTTGGAGCCAGAGTTTGATTTTCTTCTGTCACTTGGCCTGTATAAGACAGCCAGTCGCTAACAGCTTTGAAATAAGAGTGTGGACATGTAACATAATGAACAATTTAAAGCACATGATTCATACTGATAAGTATGAATGGATGTTCATTGAAAGAAAGGACATTAGATCAGGTGAATGGATTTTTAGAATTCATAACAAGAATATAAATTGTAGTCTAATGAATGAATTTACTCCTTGACCTTCCTTGTTGCAGATATTTGGTCACTAATTGAGGTGTATGCATTCTTGACTCTCTCATTGTGTTTGCTAATGTTTGTCTTGGCAGATGATCAACAAATCTCTCTGAATTTCCATGAATGAAGTTTTGAGTAGTAGGTGGCCGAAGAGACCTTGTCTCAGTAGCACTCATGGCTGGACATAAAGCAATAGACATAGAAGAGTTGGCAATAATTCATCAGATTATATGTTTCTATCATGTAAGCATTTTCAATAATACCTATCATATGCACCCACCATCACAGTAACAGTTAAACTCCATTTATTTTTGTTAGAGTTCATTAATAATTTAATACATATCTAAAACACCTACTCTAGTGGTGCCTTATTTCACTGTTTACCCATACATACAATTATAATTTTCTAGATATCATGTAACCTGGAGTTCAGGAAATGATAACAAGGATGATATATATATATATATATATATATAACTACACCCTGCTTCTATCTCTGCACACAGGTAGACTTGTATTCCTTATGGGACAAAAGATGAGAAAATTCAACCCATTTGAAAGAATCAGTATTGTTCAGCTTAAATTCTTTTTTAAAGCTAGTATTATGAATGCTCGCCCTGTGTTGATCCTGTTCAGCAAAGGAGAGAGAAATAGATCTGAAACCTAAGTAAGATGTTAACTTAGGACAATTGTGTAACTCCAGCTGTGTACAAGATATACAAACATATCATTCCTGTATTGTTTTATAAACCTTATTTATGGTAATAAAAGTTGCACTTCATTCACTAGTAAAATAACGATTCAAGGATAGCCCCATGGATGTGAACTGCATGTGAAAGCAGAAAGGGATTTTCTAGCAGGAAAAAACAGATCTTTGACAATTCCAATCATTCGTTACATCAATTTGAGCTCAGTATTGAAATTTTTACTAGAAGATTTCCTGAGTAAAGTGCATCTTCAGCTTCTACATGCCGGGCTCATATTTAGGGCAATTCAGGGATAAGAGGGAAGAGAGAGTGATAGTATTGGTCCTTACTGAAACTCACCAAAACCCATCAGGGAACCTCTCTCAGACATGGGTCTCATCTGTGAGCAACTACAGAGTGACAAGGAAAGTTTCATTCTTGTCCTGACTGATCTCTTCTGAAATTATCTTGGCTTTTTTTTCTGTTTGCAATGGAATTCTTAAAAAATATTCAGTGCTCCCTATAGAAGCCCAGCATTGTCTAAATATTTGGATAGCATTGCCCAGAAAGGCATAAACATATCAAAGATGGCATTTTTGAATTTCCTCATTTAGAAATCTTTGTATTTCCCCATATCTTAATAGCCCCTGAACGGGATGCATGCTGATGTGATATCAAATTCCTCCCATCTATTTTTAGATTTTCAGTTGCTCTAGAGCTGAATTTCTCATGTAAAGCAGAAGCTTACGCTGTGATACAATTTGCATGATTGTATTTTGGTTTCTCCATCAGCTTAAGTAGGGCAAAGTGAACCCATCTCACAGGCTGACTCCATCCCACATTTCCTCTGGGGGCTTGGAGGTATAGATTGCTTACCTGCTTCCTTGAAGACACGGTGCTGTTGAAACATCTATTGGAGGTCTTGGAATTCAAGCTCTTGTTTTGATAAGTTGAGTCATTCTTCCATGTCTTAGAGTTTTCTTTAGGAACCGGAGGGATGGGATCTAAGAAGAGGATTCTAGCTATGAGTCCATAGAGGACGGTGGCCAGGATCATTGGCACAACATAAAAGACCCCGAAGTCCATGAGGTAAATGGGTGAGTAGTAATTCCTGGAGACCTTGTAGCCACAGGATACCACAACAGCGTCTTTATAGGTGTTGATGTTGAGGTCCAGCAAGAAGAACCAGAGCATACAGTATATGGATGTGAAAGCCCACACGAAGATGATGATCTTTTTGGCTCTGGAAAATGTGCAGATAAACTGGGCTTTGATCGGGTGACAGATTGCGATGTACCTCTCGATCGTAAAGGCGGTTATTGAACAAGAGGATGCGTTAATGCCCAAATACTGGAGATAAGTAATGCAGAGGCAGCCGACATAGCCATAGACCCAGGAGCCGTAGATACTGTCTGTTATGTTGGGGAGGCCTGCAGCCACCAGGACCATGAGATCAGCTACTGCCAGACTCACCAGGTAGCAGTTCGTGGGGGTCCTCATATGCTTGGTTCTCATTACCACCAGGACCACCATGATATTGCCCACGATGCCGAGACCACAAATAACGAGCACAAGTAAGATGGTGACCACCTGGTATTCTAAGGTCACCACGGCTCGCGGCTGAAGCTGTGTCTGGTTCATTTCACTTACTGTTTCGTTCTCCATCTTTAGTGGCTTGACGTTTCTCTGAGACACTTGATTTTCAAAACATCTTCCTTTCAGTGCCTGGCTGCCTTTATCCTAGTGGTCTAATTCCCCCTGTGAAGAGTTGTTATCCACAGTCACTCACAGCATCACCATTTCAGAGCAAGTCGCAGTCACTCAGAGCTAACTCTCCCTGCCTCTCCTTTACCACAGTTCCAGGCTGACATGCACTCCTGAAAACTCCCCCACCCCACCCCACACACCCCCCATTTATCTTTTGCTGAGACAGTGTAGTGTGGAGATATGCTTCGACTAGCTCCCAGTAACAAAGCCTTTCCCTCTTCAATGGAGAAAAGTGCTTTAGGAAAGAAAACAAGAAAAGCTCTCTGTTCTGAAAGAGTTCCCAAAGGGGAAAAACTCAGCAATATCTGCTAACGGAAACAGAGAGACCCAGAGACCTCTTACACGCTTGGGGAAGGTATAATAAAAAGGCAAAAGGTACCAGGAAGAAAAACCCAGCGGTTCAATGATCATTGCGAATGGGAATTTAACGCTGCCTCTTCTGCTCTCAGAGGGCAAGATCTCTTCACCATAAAACAGTAAGCTTTTGAGCCCATATTTCCCCAGCGCCCCCCTGCCCTGCATACCCCCCAAAGAGAACAACCCCTTCTCTTACCTTTTCCTCTGTCGTGCTGCCTGCTTTTCTGGGTGTGGAGAATGGGGACAGTTCCAAGTTTCCAATCCGGCAGGAAATCTCATCCACTTTGTTTGACAGGCACTTAGCAGTGCTCAGTCTTTCGAACTGCAGTTCCTCTCAGCCCCTTTCAACTGATGACAGCCCATGCAGCCGCAGCAGCAGCAGCAGCCGCAGCAGCAGCAGTGAGGCTGTCAAATCATAGATCGTCCCCTAATGAGAACACACACACACACACACACACACACACACAAATCATAGATCATCCCCTAATGAGAACACACACACACACACACACACACACACACACACTCACACTCAAACTCACAGATGCCAGTCAGTCCTCCTAGATTCCAGGTTGACTTTCTCCTGTGCTGATGATACAGTCCTCAGTGGGAGGGCTGGAATCGTCACCAGGGGGTCTGAAAGCTGCTGAGTTTGTAGTTGCTTATAATCCAAGCATTTCCTCTGAACTCCCATACCTGAGCTGCAATGAACTAGATGGACGCTACCTGTTTGATAGGACTTTGAGGGCAACAAATTCTTCCCTGCCCAGACACAGCCCTTGAAGCCTGAAATACCTGTCTGAGCTGAAATCAACTTCTATAGCCACTAAGGAAACCCTTCCACCACTTCTCTGTAAAACTGGATCCCTGTTCTCTTACTATATGAATGGAAAATGAGTTAAAATTGATTTAAAACCATTTCAGTCACAATGTTCTGAGGCTTATAAATTTTTTTTTTAACTATTTGAGATGGGGATATTGATTTCCACCTGCCTATAATCCGTTAAGTTTGTTTTGCAGCTTTGGCTCTGAATCACTTACCAGAATCTCCTAAATGCTCTGTGGATCTTTCCTTCTTTCTTTCTTTTTTTAAACCCACCCTCTGACCCACCAGCCACGTGTACCAGTCAACCACCTTTTGTCTCAATTTACTTCTGGGTGGACAGGTGCTCCAGCTCATGTAATCCAGTACCCCATACCTCTGACGCTAGGGAGGGTCATCTTTTTTGTTTTGTTGGGGGTGGTTAATTCATACATTTCAGTTGATTTTCATTTCTGTTAAATTGCCAGTGAGTAACTCTTGACACTTCTTCCTGGAAGCTCAGACACGTGTGTCCCAGACACACAGAAGACATCAGATGCTGCTCTTTGTCCACTGGAATCCCTGCCTACCACACTGAGCTGCTGAGCAGAAGATTGGAGTTTGGCATCAACACGGAGACACCTTGAAAGAAAGGCTTGGATGATCTCTTTTCACAAATGAGCCATGGCAAACCCTGTGTGAAGCTTAGTTCCACTCTGACACAGACAGGGTCTCCATACATTGACCTTGACTCGATAGCCACTGGTCACTGGTAAATCTCTCCCTGTAAAATTGCTCGAGCCATCCCCAGGGACTGCGAATGGATAGCTGCTTGACTTCTCACCCAAAGGGTGGTGTTTCAAACACACCCAGAGGTGTCTATGGAGATGGGTCTGGACAGCTCAGCCTGCAAAGCCCCCTGGAGAACACAGCTCAGCCTGCAAAGCCGCCTGGAGAAGTTCTACTCTGCGCACGTGGGGGGCCCCCAACAGTTGGCATCTAACGACAGAGTTGTTTGTGTGAGAATCAAAGGAATAGTGCCAGAGGAGGACACGTGAGAATGAATGAAATAGCCAGGCCTGGCATGCGGGAGGCTGGCACCAAGCTGAGGAGAGGTGGCTGAGCTGTACACAATGGTGAGTGTTAGGGAATGAGCAGTGTTCCCCAATCTCCCCCAAAGAAGTGCTGTGAATCCTAACCCTTGTAGTGGTTATAATTCCATGTGAGAGCAGGTTTTCTTTGTCATGTTGATGAGCAGATATTATTGTCACCTGTGCCTCCCAGCCATCTCTTTTGAGATGGAAAGGAGATGAGACAAGCAGGTAAGCGAGCAGAGATGAAGGAAGATAGATAGGAAGCCACAGGAAGATGACCAAGGAACAGGAGAGACGAGGACCTTCCTCCAGAGCCAAGAGAGACCGAAAAACTTGTTCTAGAGGCAGTAAGTACCCTGGATTTCAACTTCTAGCTTTGCAACCTTTGAGAAAATATGTGTTGTTGTGACGGCTTCGCAGTTGTGGTTCTTCTGTGAAACAGCCTTAGATCACCACGGTAGCCATGTTCGGAGGG